GAGCTGGAGAAGCAACAGAAAAGGCTCTCCCCCGAGTGGTCGCCAGCCGGCATTGTCCGGCAGAAGGCACCTGGAGGAGGCCTAACCTGTGAGTTCTTATCGGACTTTTGAAATATCCAGAGAAAATTGGTGAAGACATCGAGTATCTTGTGTTGTGGGAAAGTAGAAAGAAGAAGGGAAAGTATTCTTCGTGAACTTGTAAATGGTGTTTTCATCTAGGTACTGCTCTGAAAGGAAAGCTCAGTGATGTGATGGGTTTTGAGGCCTTGGTTGACTATATATTTTAATTCTTAAAAGAATTTGCAAAAGGAATATAACAATAGCAGCATGGACAGACCTATGTGGATTATAATTTTGATTGCTGGAGGAAGAAGAATAAAGGGAGCACCTACCCTTAAGAGATCTACAAGTAATTAATGGACCTGACAGGACAATTAATACTGTAGACCAAAGATATATATTTTTGTTAAACGGTGGTGATTGGAAATCTTAGATTGTGGGCATATCTCTATAGATACAATACCAGAGAATTTAAGGAGGTACATCTGGGGTGTGTGGGAAATAGTTTTTCTCTGTGTAGTTATAACCTTTTTGTCTTTCCCCCCCTTGACAAGCTTATTGCTGAATATTAGGGATGACAAGTATATTGAATATGTCTAAGATAGGAAAGAAAGCGGCATCTACACTCTCATCAGCATCAGCAACATCAAGCCCATCCAATCAAAGATCAATAGAAAGTATGCTAGGTCTGGAGAAAACATGTTCCCTTCAGAGTATGCAAGCGGCACTACTATCAATCCAAGAAGCAATGACCAAAAGTCAGAAAGCTATGTCAAAAAACCATGACGAGATTAAAAATGAAATGGGGGAGATGAAGGGAGATATACAGAAGATGGATGAAAAGATAGGGAATTTTCAGCAAATGATACTGAAGAATGAGCAGAGGATACAGAAAATAGAAATAAAGGCTGAGCAAACAGGAAAAAAGGAGGAAATGGACCAAAAGCTATCACAGGCCAATAGAGAATTAGAAGAAGCAGTAATTTTTTTAGAGATGGAAAGGCTGCCTATTATTTAAGATTTCAGAATATTGTGGAAGAGAAAGAGGAAGAGGTGGCCTACGTGATGACAGAACTGCTGGTTGGA